CCATGTTTGCCACTGTGGCCCATGTGACAAATTCCAGGGCCGTTTTGGTGAGGCCCAAGCTCACTGTGAGGTGGCTGCCTGCAATAATGAGAGGGGGTGGTCACCCACTCTGTGCTGGCAGACCACACAAGCTACAGGGACAGAGGAATGTCCAAGAAGGGGGCCAGGCTTGTGGGGGGGTCTCGAAGTGCTGCTGTGGGAGGTGTGGTGGAGGGACCTGGGCGTTTAACCTGAGAGAGCTCTGAGGGACCTGTCCATATGGGAAGCCATCTTGAATTGCTTGGAATGATGCTATCTACCTTCCAGTGACAGTCAGCTGGAAGCAGTCCCAGTCTCAGGGTAAAGAAGATACTGTGACCCTTTGAGCTGCTGTGAGGAGATTGAAGGGGTTGAGCAGAAGCCTGCAGTTGGCCCCGCTAAGGAAGCTGTAGAGGAGACTCCTGCTTGGGAGGGGAGAAGATGGTGCGTTTGGCCTGGGTGTGGTGCTTCAGTTGGGGGGCTTTCAGGGGCCATTGCTTGACTCTGGCATTTTTACTTGGAGGTCAGACAAGCAGGCAAGGACACGGGCTGCACAGAGTCCCATAGCAGCCGCAAGTGGCTTTGGTGGCCCTAGAATTAAGGCAGAATGAGACCTTTACTCCAAAGGCAGAGGACCAGAGTGAGGCCAGAGCACAAGGCAGGCCATGACAGTGCCCCTGCCCCAGGGAACCCCTGGTCTCCCTGCTTAGACTCGTGTCATGTGGACGGACAGCTTTTCGAAGACCCTGACTCTGGTTCAGAGCAAGGCCAGGAGGGTGGCCTTTTTTCCACCACTCTGCTGGTCTGGTAGTCAGACCAGAGTGTTCTGTAGTCAGAGATGACCTGGTCCCATGTGCCCTCTTCCAGCCAACAAGAACTGTGGCAGAGTGTGTGAGGGTCAAGCCGTGACCTTTCCCCAGGAACCTTTGTCCCCTTCAGCTGAAAGGCAGGATTGTTGGGTGGATGTTCTGCTGTCCTCAGTCCAAAGTCCAGGGCACAGGATGAAGTGGGTGAAGTGATTCTAACCCCATGTCTCCCTTGGCTCCTGGGTTCTTGGAACCACATCCACCTGGTCCCCTCCCAAGCCAGGGGCCAGTCCAGTGAGCCAGGAGGCTGTGAGGGCTGTGAGCCAGCCAGAGCTCTTGGGACTGGGCTGCAGCCCTGGCCCTGCAGCCAGGCACTGGAAACATTCTGGGGCTCTGTGGGGTGCCTCAGATACAGAGGAGAATGCAGATCAGTCCGACTGTGGCTTCATTCGTGGAATGAGTGTGTTAATGCTCATCTAAATCATAGGCTTCCTGAGAGTCTGATGGGCAACTGGCATGAGAGCTTTGCACACGTAAAATGCCATTCCTGGGCATTCCTGGGAGCTGGTGGGGGCCAGTTCCATTCCAGGACCTGTCCTAAGGGATGCTACCACCCACAGGGCCCTCCCTGCAGCTGGGAAACTGAGGGGGTGGTGTGACTCTCCCAGTATTTGTCCAGATGTGGAAGTGGTAAATTTCCAGTGTGACTCAACCCCAGAGATTAGCAGCTTTCATTTGAAATCAGAGTCAGAGAAGCCAAGGCCCCTTGTGCATGCATGTGTGCGCGTGCATGTGTGTGCGTGTGAGACAGCGTACGTGGATACTAATCCTGGCTGCAATATTCTCGCCTCCTGACCTTGAGCCTATCACTTCCTCTCTGTGAATCAAAATCCCTTCCCTTGAAGAAGAGGAGCAAGACCTATGTGTCCGGGCCCTGCCTGGCTGGGCAGGAAGGAGCACCGAGTGCACCCTAGACTGAGACTTTTGGGGACCACTTGAGAAGCAGAGCACTCTTAATCTGAGCCAAGCTTTGGGATGGAGACGGAATGTCAGTGCGCATTACGCAGCGCTGAGGGCCAGGCATGCCCACAGTCAGCAGGTAGCTGCTCTTTCCTCAGCTCAGACGTGCATTCTGAATGAAGGCTTCCTGGCCCTGACCAGCCGTGGCTCCCTGAGATGAGCTGGGGGAGGCTCTGGGCTGGTAGAGGCAACGAAGAGTCTAGAGAAAGAGCAAAATGAACACAAGAGGGGAATGGGTGGCCTGAGAGCGAACAGGAATTCTTAGCTCCACCAGAATCTGTCGTCTTTGAGGGATGGTGTGTTAACTTCTCGCCCTCTTCTCCCACCATGGCTGTGAATGAGAAATAACCACAGCATAAATAGCTCTGCGGAAGACAGGGCCATTGTGAGACTATACACAGTGGGGCAGGACAGGGCGTGTGCCTCGTTCACACAGACAGTGGCCTGGGTTCAGGTCCCAGCTTTGCCACCGACTCACTGCCTGATCTTGGCCCAGTGGGCTGCTCTGAACCATGGTTGGATCTGGTACATTATTGGGCATCAAAAAAGCATTTCATTATGGCCATAGTTACAAATGAACTAACAGGCTGAAGCCCTTTCAGAATCAGGGTGAGAGGGAAGGACCAACCTTTTCTTTCTCATGGGATTTTAATATTGAGGCATTTCCCAAAATGCTCTGGGAAAAGATGTCAGCAAACAGAGGGCCTAGAATGAGCTTGGGCAATGCCAGGGTGAGCAAAGGTAAACAGCATCTTTGCTGCAGGACCTTTCATTACTTTTTCTAAGAAGTCTCACAAAGCTCCATGAGTGGGTGACGTGGGCGGTGATTCCCCAGGTTCATCTAACCAGGGAGCCTGTGAGGCGTGCACAGGACACATTCGGGATGAGTGGTTGCTGCATGTCTTTCTTTCTTGGTTCCCAGTGAGCTTCTGTCTCTATCCGTGCTCGCCCGAGTCACCAAACCAGTGAGGATGTGGTGTATTTATCCCCTGTCCATCTCTGCAGTGTTGGTTTTTCATTTCTGTCTTTCTGTGTGTCTGTCTTTCAGTGTGGGAGGCCTCAGATGGAAGCAAGGAGGGCAGGATTAGCATCACCTGGAGAGCCCAGGCTGGGAACTGAGCCAAGGGAGTACTGAGCTTTTTTTTTTTTTTTTTTCTGAGACAGGGATCTTTAAGTTGCCCAAGCTGGCCTTGAACTTGTCATCCTCCTGGCTCAGCTTCCCAAGTAGCTAGAGTTACGATACTGAGCAATCTGAGCTTTGAGAAGCTGTGGAGAGGCTGGAGTGCAGTTCCCTTGGGGATCCCTGGAGGTTTGTTTGTGTTTTGTCCTGGGTGATGGAGAAAGGAGAGCAAGCGTCAGTATGTTTATGTCCTGCAAGTACCGCTCAAGAAAGTAAAAGTCACCTTGTCGTGGACACTGCTGACCTCCAGAACACACCAGTATCTGCTGCTGCTGCATTTAGCAGTTCTATGAAAGGCAGAAGCAGTGGGCCATGGGTCCCAAGGCCCAATTTGGATGAGGCGGCCTTAGGAGGGGGAAACCAACAGGAGATGCTCCCCATATCCCTGCAGGCACCCTGAGAGCTGCAGGCTACTGAGAAGCAGGTCCCAGAACCCCGCCTGCCGCGGTGGGGAGCAGCCAGGGGCATCCCAGGGAGGCTGCTGCGTCCTGCCTCTGGGGTTTGCAGGACATGCGGTGTCATTTCTTTTTCCTGTGACCCCTAAGCCCCCTGTATATAAGTCCCTCTCTGTATCTTTCATTTGACTTATGTGGGTAGGAGGAAGGATTGGGAGAAAGTGTCCCTACTCCACACCCTTACTTCTCTAGTGTATTTCAATCTACAGGTAGCAAACCATTAATGGGTAGAGAAGTCAGTTTTATGGGTCATGATCAGCACTGTAAAAAAAAAAAATACTGAGGATTGAACCAAGGCCTCACAATGCTAGGCAAGTACTCTAACACTGAGCAACATCCCCAGCGCTTTTAATTAACTTTATTGCAGCACGGGAGATTGAACCCCGGGTCTTAGCACTGAGCTGTATTCCCAGCCCTTTTTAAACATTTTTTTTTTTTTTTTGGTACAGGGGATCGAACTCAGGACCTTGCGCTTTCGAGGCAGGCACTGGAACCACTGAGCTAAATCCCCGGCCCTTTTTAAACATTTTTTTAACTTTTGAGACAGGGCCTCCTCAAGTCACTGAATTACCCAGGCTAGGCTCAAACTTTGATCCTTCTGCCTCAGCCTTCTCAAGTGCTGGGATTACAAGCCTATACCACCTGACCTAGCTTTTTATTTTGAGTCAGAGTCTTTTTAGGCATCCTGGGCTGGCCTGGAACTTTCAATCCTGCTGCCTCAGCCTCCCAGATAGCTGGTATTAGAGGTGTGCACCACTATGCCCAGCTACAGCCAGAATTTATAGCACGAGATGGAACAGGATGTATCGGAGTTCATCGGATGGAGCAGGGTTGTTAAGTATGTCATGGGCACTAGCTAGATGGGTGGGTAGGATAGCAGATAGGTTGCAGTGTCACATGGATTGCTGTGGACTGTGCTTAGTGGAGTTTGGAAGCCCGTGACTGGCCAGCTCCAGGTGGTGGCACCAGCTGGGCGAAGTGGCTCTGCTCCCTGGGTCTGTCTTGTCCTGCAGACCTTGAGAAAAAAGTCCCTGAATAAAAGTGCTTGTGATGACTGCTCCTCTTTGAAAGACATTTTCATTGTCAGTTGGGCCACTGAGCTAGGGGTCCCTGGCTACAGCTAAAGGAGAAGAGCGTGTCACTTCTGGGCGGCAGGGAGGTGGCAATTGTAGTTGGGTCTGTCAGGCAGACTCTGCGGGCTGTGTGACGAGGACAGCACTGGACTAGGACTCCCCACTTCTGTTTCTTATCTTAGGTCGCCACTCATAGCTGTGTGACTCAGGGCAAGTGACTTGCTCTCTCTGGGCTGCAGTTTACTCAGATATAAGAGGGAGAATAGGATCAGGAGATTTCTAAGGTCTGGATTTCTCCCAGGTCTTCGGTCCTGTGAAGCAGAGTCCAGTCAGCCTAAGGACAATCAGCTAGGCTAGTTTGTAGACCCCAGTAGGGAGATGGAGGTGCGGGAGGCTGCCCCTGGCAGTGGCGAGGGTACAGGATGACAGAGGAGCTGCAGCCTGAGCCTGGTCTCCATGGACAGCATTTATTAGGCGCCATTCTCAGTGTGAAGACAGATAGGCAGGGGGCGCTGAGGGGGACCTGGCAGCCACAGCCTGGGGAGTTCAGGGGCTGCCCGGGTGGGGTGTGGGCGTGGGGCACGTCACCCACACATATTGCATATTCTGTGGCAGTGTGCCCAGGCATAAGGCATCGGGGAAGCAGAAAGGCTGCCTGCAGTTGGAGGGGTGAGAAGGGAAGTAACACCGGCCTTCCTGTTCTCTAGGAAAGACCCAGCCGGAGACCAGCAGTCTGCCGTGCGCTGCCCCGGGCCGCGCTGCACCCTTCCCACCACCTCTCTGCAGCTTTGGTTGTGGCTCCCTCGGGTCTGACGTCTGACAGGACTTGACCCTTGAGGGCAGGGTCACACACAGGACAGGGGCAGCCAGCACTGCCCCACTCCCAACATAAACACAGAGGGCACCTTTCCAGGCTGCAGGCCTTCCCGGTGCACATGGCAGCCAGCTCTTCCACACTGCTCCGGGCTTCTTCCCCTGGGGGCCCCTGTGGTTAGAGGCCATGGCTGGGGAGGAGCCTGAAGCTGACCACCCCAGGGGTCCCTCCCTCAGGCTTCCTTGGTGGATGCCAGGGATAGCCTGGCTGGGCAGTGTGGAGGAGCTGACTGGGAACAGCATGGGAAGGCAGCTCTGTGGGGGAGAGGCCCCTCAGCCACCTGTGATGCTGTCCCCAGAACTATACCAACTCCAGCTGTGGAGTGAGCCAGGACGTCACATCCACCTGCTGCTTCCCCCCCGAGCTTCTGGGTTGCAGGCGGGATAGGCCCAGGCTCCTGGAGGGAGGGGTGTTTCTGCCTGCAGCTGCAGCCTAGCTCTAGCTGCGTGGGACACAGGTACGGGCACTGGCTGTGGCGCAGGGATCATGTCCCAGTCGGATGTGGCTGCCAGCTCTCTTGGCTGTGCTGCCCGATTCCCAACTCTTAGAGCTGGCCCATGAGCCCCAGCCCTGCTTACCTTGGTCCCAAGGACTTTTGTGTTTGTCAGCAGGCAGCCTGGAGACATTCAGAGGCCAGAGTGGAAGAGGCTGAGCCTCAGCAAGGGCCCAGCCAGGGTTTCTGGCTCTGCTTTAAGCCCCAGCTCCTTTTAGGATCCTGGTACACAGGGCAGGAGCTTTGCTTCCGGAAGCAGGCAGGGCTAGAAGGGAAGAGCACTTGGGCTAGGAACAAGCAGGTGAGTTCCTGTTCTCTTTTACCTTTTGCCATGTGTATCACCTTAGGAAAGTCATTTCCTTTCTGTCCTCATTGGTTAGATGGGGATAAGAACTGTTGCCCTGGTGATCTAAGTGGAGTGTAGTGAGACTTAAACCAATAAGTAGGCAGGGCTTTGCTTTTGGAGGCTAAAAATCACCCCACAAACTTAAGAGTTGGTGATCAGCGGCAGCAGCAGCCAGGAATGGTGAGTCCGAGTTTTCTGTCTCAGATTCCAAGGGCAGTGTCTGGAAGGCTGGAGCCCCCCTCCCCCATGAGGATGCCACCGAGGCCAGTTAGCTGTCACTTACCCGTGCCACTGCCCTGCGGATGGGGGGCCCTTGCCTCCCCCATTCCCCTCTCTTGCTCTTGTTGCCTGTCCTTTCTTTCCGTCCTGCCCTCTGGGGACTAGCTTTAGGGACTGCCGGGGTTCCACTTTCTCCATAACTGCAAAGCCATGCAAAACAACACAGAAGGTAGTGGGGCTGGGAGACACAGCTGGGGACAAGAAGGGGAGTGGGGTTGAGTGGGGGTGACCTGGACAAAGACACCCTGGCTTTGGGAGCCAAGGGGAGGTGGGAGACCTGGCAGGACAGAGGTATAAATAGAGATGCAAAACGTACATGGAACACGAAGTCCCCTCGGGCGGTGGGGGTCTGGGTACCAGCAGGGCCTCTGAGGACTGGGGAGCTTCTAAGGTTTCCAAAAGGACAGAAGGCTCCCAGCTTCTGCCTTCCCTCCTCGACTCCCTTCCCCTAAGTTTCACATTTCTTGGAATTTGCAGGGCTTGGATTGGAGGCTCCAGGGGTCCTCAGAGCCCGGCCTCCTGCCAGCTGGTGCGAGCAGGCACAGTCGGAGATGGGGGCTGGGGGACAGAGGGGGGGGCTGGGGGTGTCCCGCGGGCCGAAGGCAGCTTGGGAGGGCGCTCCCGGCCGACCCCTGCCGCTTCGAGCCGAGCCCCCACCCCGCTCGCAGGCGCGCCAGGCCCCGCGGAGGTCACACGGAGCTCCTGCGCTTCATGAGACCGCGGAACGTGGACAGGCTGTGCAGGCCCGTGGACACGGAGCTGATGGCCGAGCGCTGCGTCCCGCTGCACAGGCAGCGGTGCGAGGGCGTGTCGCTGTAGCGGCCGCCGCCTCCCGCCGACGAGTGGCTCTGCTCCACGCACGTGTCGGACGTGGAGAGGTCCCGCGGGATGATCATGGGGATGGAGTACTGCAGCTTCTCGCGGCTCTTGTACCACAGGCACGAGCACATGGACTGGAAGTGCAGCACCTCGGCGTAGACGTTGCGGAAGCCGCCCGCGCCGCCCGCCGCCACCGTGGACGAGGCCGTATCGGTGGTGTGCGCGCTGTCGCCCACGCCCGCGCTCAGGCAGCTCAGGCCGCCCAGGCCGCCGGCCTGCCCGTTGCGCGTGAGTAGCGCGCGGTGCTCGGCGTCGCGCTTCTCGTCCTCGGCGTTCATAGTCATGAAGCGCAGCACCACGAGGTTGAGGAAGGCGCCGATGACCGTGAGCCCCGTGAGGATGTAGACGAAGCTGAAGGCCACGTACTGCGGCTGCGTCTGCAGCGCCTGGTCCTTCTGCAGCGCCACGTAGTCGCCGAAGCCGATGGTGGTGAGCGTGATGAAGCAGTAGTAGTAGGCCTGGAAGAAGGTCCAGTGCTCGTAGTAGGAGAAGGCGGCGGCGCCGATGCACAGCGTGCTGATGCACGACACGAAGCCGATGAGCACCATGTTGGCCATGGACACGTCGGCGCGCCGCATGCCCAGCCCCTTCTTGGCGCGGTGCAGCAGGTACCTCACGAAGGTGTTGATGCGCTCGCCCAGGCTCTGGAACATGACGAGCGTGAGCGGGATCCCGAGCAGCGCGTAGAACATGCAGAACACCTTGCCGCCGTCCGTGCTGGGCGCCGCGTGGCCGTAGCCTGGGGAGGGCAGGAGAGGAGAGAGCACGCGCTGTGGGCGGCGCCTCGGCCCCCCCCCCGGAAGGGGCTGGGCCTCTGGCGCACGAGGGGTACCCCGTGCCCAGGCACCGCCCCAGCCCCAACTTACGCCTTGGCGCCTGTGCTTGTTTGGAAGGGGTCCAAGGTCACGGTGTTTGGAAGCAGAGCAGCTCGAGCTTAAACTCGACTCTGCATGGCTTCAAAACTTGGATTGCTCTGTGTACCTAGCGGAGGAGGCCGCTCCTGGTGCCGCTGGGAGCCGGAACGGCACTGTCAGCTGAGGCGAGGGTCCCGTGCAGTGTCTCGGGCCCGGGGCAGGCACCCTATCTTCGAGGGCCCTCAGCGCCCTTGCTGACGGACGAGGGGAGGGAGGTGGGCTAAACAGATTAGACATCCTGTGCTTTGGTGTGGAGGTAGGGAACCTGAGGCCAGGCAGCTCCTTGATGGTTTTCCTGCGCACACCCAAAGCTTTCAGTGAGGGGAGGGCACTGGGACCCTGCAGCCTTCCCGAGGCAGCTGCCCAGCAGTGAGAAGGAGGAAGGAAGGAAGCCCCTAGTCCGGGCTGGGAGCCGGGGTGTTCCTGTGACTGTGGCCTCGGGGCCGGGGATTGTACGCTCCTGGGTGCGGCATTAAACTCGGCAAAGGGGGAGCCTGAGTGTCCCTCCAGGTGTGCTGCCACTAGCCAGGCTGTCCTTGCTCCCTTCCTCCCAGCTGAGCCGGGAGCCGGGCAGAGGCAGAGCCTCCCTCTGGTCTGGAGCCAAGAATTCTGCCTGGCAGCGTGGAGGGAAAAATGACTCTGTATGGCAACTCAGAAGCCGTGGGTGCCAATTCTGTCCTGACACCAGTGGCTGTGCAACCTTTAGCGCATGACACCCCTTCTCTGATCATGTCTGTTTATTTGTAAGATGCAGTCTGCTGGCCCGGCCCTGCTTCTTTCACCAGACTATTGAAATATTTATTCTCTTTATTAGTAGAATGATGATAGCTAGTCATGTTGCTCAGTGGTAGAGGAAAGGGATGCCTTGCATGTGTGAGGCCCTGGGCTCCATCCCTAGCACCACACACACACATGCGCGCGTGCGCACACACACACAAATTATGGTAATGAAACAATGCTGGCTGCCTTTCCAGTTTTCCGTTTTTCTAAGCCTTATGAAATCTTGACCCAATGCTTCTTCTTTCCAGCAGTCTTCCTGGGTTCCTCGCAGCAGAAACTGATCTTTGCCTTACTTGAATGTTCAGCTTTGAACTCTAGGGGCCCCCACTACATGCAGCTAAACACTAGCGTGGGGGCCACTGCCTGGCTTCGTCATTTTCCCCTCTGACTTGCACCTCCACATGATCTGCTGCTCCCAGAGAGTCCCCAAAGTACACTTAATGACTAAATTGCAGGAGAGGATACTGCATGCTTTGGTGCTGGATCTGAGTTCAAATCCCAACTCTTCCATGGACTAGCTCTGTGTGTGTGTGTGTGTGTCTGTGTGTGTGTGTGTGTGTGTGTAACCTCTCTGAGCCTTGGTTTCCACGTCTGTAAAATGGAGCCATTAAGTCACTGCCTCAACAGGGCTTTGGGAAGGAATAAGGGAGATAATGTATGTATGAAGGGGCAGATTTCTCTCCAGGTGTGGGGGTTGCTGGGCTCCAATATAGCTGGCATCTCTGACAACCTGAGGCCATTGAATCTTGAAGCTCAGTGTCTGGCGACAGCTGTTTGGATGGGACAGAACTTTGGGGCTGCACTTAGAATGGACCCCCCTGGGCCCACCATGGCCCTGAGCCAGGACCCTGGAAAGCTGAGCTACTGAGCCTCCATGCCTGGCCTGTCTGCAGCCCAGCAGGGTGAGAACAGATTCTGCCAGCCAGTTCAGCCTCAGCAGCCAGTCTGCAACTCACCTCGACAGCTGGGCAGGCCCCCAGCCAGAGCTGCTGCTTCTCCTGTCCTTCCCTGTCCCCCGGGTGGGAGGACATGGCACTGGGGACAGGGAGTGTGGGTGTGGACCTGTCCCAGCTGTGTGACCTTGGGTGAATCCCTACTCTTCTCTGGTCTCACTCACTGGGCGTGTGTGTGTGTGTGTGTGTGTGTGTGTGTGTGTGTGTGTGATGCGTTAAAGCTGTTGATCCCTGGCCTGGCCACCTGCCAGGGCTGCCTGCAAGAGAGAAGAGAGTAGGCATGCAGGTCCCTTGGCACCTGAGCCTCAACAGATGCAGCGGTGACGGGGTCTCCCAGGAAGGAACCTGAGCACGTAGCCCAGGGAGCAGACCCAGCTCTGTGGAGTCAGGAAGCCATGGGTCACCCTCAGGGGATGGGACGCCCTTTCTGCCACCCCAGCCATCCCTTTCCTTTGTGCGTTCATAGCTGTGACTTATCTCTTAGGCAGACCCAGTGTCTGCCTGGCAGCCCTGCTGCCCACTGTGGGCTGCCCATAAACCCCTCGGCGCTCCCAGTCCAGCCCTAGTCCACCTTCACCCCTGCTCCTGCTGTGATCCTCAGCAGCCACCCTGGGGCTCCATACCCGCCAGATGTGCCACCATGTCCTCTCCACATCTTTCCTCAGTGCCCTCTTCTCTTCCTTTGCCAGCTGCAGCGGCCCCAGACCTAACTTCAGCCACAAGGGACAAACCCCTCCCCACCTCTCTTCCTGAACATTGGCCGACGAAGCAAGGGAGGGAGGGACTCATCCAGGCAACCACGGCTCCTACCAGGTTAGTCTCCTGCCCTGTCCGGGGACACCTTGGCCTGCCCATGCCTGGCCTTGGGTCAGATGCACCCGGATCCTACCATAGGCTGAGGCTTCCTAAGCAGGTATAGTTCTTACCCTTCAGATACATGGTTTTTTTTCTTCTTGGTACTGGGGATTGAACTCAGGACCTTGTGCTTTCGAGGCAAGCACAGCACCTCTGAGCTACATCCCCGGCCCTCAGATATGTTTCTAATCCAATCCTCAAAAACTTCCCACGAGGTCACTATTATGCCTCTCTCTGCTTTACAGTTGGGGTCAGGAAGTCTAGAGAGGCCTGCCTGCCAGGCCTTTCTGACTCATTGTTCTTCCAGTGCATCGGAGCTAATGGGATGCCCCAGGAAGGGAAACTGAGGCCCAGAGAGAGGAAAGCATTCCACTTGTAGCCTCAACCTCAGGCACTGTCCCAAGCTGGATGTGGCACAAATGGAAATGGGAGAGAGATGCCCAGGCAGACAGATGCTTTTCCAGGTGTGGCCCAGGGTGCACAGACTGCACTCTTGCCTGTCCGGTTGTCACTGGCTGGAAAGGCAGGGGAGCTGCGAGGCCCTGCTGACGTGGGTGCCCGGCTCAGAGGACTGCAAGCCCGGGTGGAACAGTCCCAGGGGCTTCAGCTTCTGGGAAGTACTTTGAGTTTGGCCAGCTCCATGTGCCCACCAGCAGGCTTGCTGCCTGCCTACTCCCTGCCCGTGTCAGGCTTGGCTCTGCCAGGGAGAGGCCAGGGGTGTTGCCTACCTCTTCCTGTCCAGTCCCGCGAGTCTCTGGGCTCAGAGACTGTCTGTTCCTCACTGGCATCAAAACACACAGACTGGGGCTGGGGATTTAGCTCAGTGGTTTCGCTGCCTGCTGTGTAAGCGCAAGGACCCGAGTTCGATCCCCGGTACCAAAAAAGAAAAAAGAAAAAGAGAAAAGAAAAACACACGGACTGCTCTTTGGGGCTGGTTCTCATCCAGAAAGCACTCAGCGGGGCTCTCCTGCCCCCTCCTCTTCTGGCCTCTTTCCTGAACCTTCTGTGGATTTAAAGATTCTTAGAGCCAGGCCTTTAGCCATCATTTGGTCCAGTGCTTATATTATACAGACGAGGAAATGGAGAAGCACAGAGGGAAAAGCAATCTGATCAAGGCCACACAGCTGGTGAAAGACAGAACTGGATTACTGCCCAGGGTCCTCCATCACAACCTCAGTGTGCCATCCACCGCTGCCTGGCTCAGGTGTGACCAGAGCTATACCTGTTCATTCCGTGAGGGCTAGCAGCTCCTACTCTGCAGCACCTTAGCTAAGAGGTAGCTCTGGAACCTGGCTGGAGGCACAGAAGTCACCTGAGGAAGCAGGTGAAGAAATCCTAAGTATCTTAAGGTAGAAGGAAACTAAGGGACTGGACAGGAACCTCTCGGCCTCTGTTCCTTTCTTTTCCTCCTGGGGTCACCGAGGAGCTTGGACACTGGCTGAAGCTTTGCCTTCCAGGAGCACGTGGGGGCCTAGGGGTCAGGCTGGCTGTCCCTCTTCCTAGTCCCCCCCTGCACTGTGGCCTGTTTCCTTGTAGTCAGAGCACTACAGAGAGAGATGGCCTTGGCTGGCCGGGCCGGCTGCCTGCTCCCCCCTGGCCTTCACCTGCTCGCTCGCCTGCTGCCTGACCTCCTACCGCCAAAGCCTCGGGCAGAGGAAACTGTGGCGCTGGGAGGCAGCAGCTGGGGTCTGTCCTGACCCGGGCAGGAGTTGGCCTTCCTCTTACTGGCTTCCGTTCTCCTCTTCTCAGTGGGCGTCCCTTTTCCACTGCTGTGGACGCCTGGTACTGTTTTCTCTGCTTACCTGCCTGGTTAGAGTAAAACTTTTGTAAGATCTAATTTATGAAGTATGATATGTTCATACTACATAGATCAGACACTGAATAGATTATTGTTAAGGCTGTAATTAATTTATTTCCCCATCCAAATGAATTAAGAACACATGTGCCAATCAGGCCTTCTGATTAGCATGGGATAATTGACTGAATGAAGTAATTGTATGTTTGAAGTACTGAAAAATAGAGAGGCGGTCTCTGTAGTTTAGGGGAGTAGATAAGAGCACAGGCTCTGGAGTCAGACAGCTTTAAACCTTGGTCAAGTTAGCCCTCTGGGCCTCCCTCTCCTCATTTGTACAGTGGGTGCAGTGATGTACATATCTCATAGAGTTGCTGTGTAAGTAGACTTAAAATGCTTAGAGCATTGAGATCAATAAATGCTAATTATTAATATGAGCATTTTGGGGAACCCCAGGATTATACGGTCTTAAATATCCTCTCCAGCAACAAACAATATTCTATGGTCAGTCTTTCCCAAGGTTAATTCCCTGGCGTACCAGCTCCATGGAATGTTAATAACTGTTGGATGAAGAAAGGGGTCACTTTGTTAAACTGGGGAAATCTGGATTGAACAGGATTTGTAGTCATTGACGTAAGTGCATGCATTTTTCTCAGAGCCATGCATGTGTCACTGCGCGAGGCCATTCCAAGCTAGGAGTATGTCCTGTTTCCTACTAATGTTATAGGGAACATTTTTCTTACAGTGCCTATTACTGGAAAAGGGTTCCTTGTAGAGCAGTTTGAGAAAGGCTCCTCTGGTGCATTAGGAACGGCTCAGGTTTTTTTGTAGGTTTCTAACTTTGAGATTCTCTGCTCTCTCATCTCTGGGTGAACTAGAAATGCATAGCCTTTGGCAATGCCTGACTGTACCCTGTCTCCCTGCAGACCTACTTATCTAATGTAAATACAGCCCTGGCTGGACTAATGTTTGTTCTGAGGGAAGATGGATGAGGTGACCTGTGGCCTGAAACACTCAAGGGCTGCAAACTCTGGGTTGATGCCCGAAAGGGTTGATATAGACTTGGGTGCCTCCCAGAGCAAGGCCAGGCTGGCTGTTGAGTGGCAGAGGATGGTCGGGCCTGAGCCAGGCAAGGGTCACCTAGAAAAGGGTCCTTGAGGACTCTGCCTCCTCAGGGGCTGAGGCACTGACAGGGAGCCACCTTTGGCCAAGTGAGACAGCAGTGTGGAGCCAGGAAGTGGCACAGGGGCTCCTGGGAGCCTAATTGGAATGTTAAAGGAGATGAGGTAGCAGGGGGTGGCAGCAGGTGACCAGGCAGAGGGAGGGGCAGAGGCCTGGTGGGAATGGCTGGAAAGCACAGGCACTGTCCTTCCCTCCTGGAAGATCTGCTCAGATGCCTTTTCCAGGAACCTTCTGGAACCTTTTCCAGGAACCTTCTGGAACCTTCCTCCAAGTGCTGGAGGCCCCTCTGCCATCTTCCGTATCCCGTTCTGGGGCCTCATGTCCACAGAGGAGTTCTACATGGTGGGAGAATCCCCTCAGTTTCCCACACAGGGCCTAGTGGGAGCCACTGCTGTTCAACCCCAAAGGCCAAGGTTTGGGAGGCTGTGGGAGAAACATCCCCTCAGACACCCGTTGGGGAAGGGGAGGCCTTTGCTGACTCATGGACTCTCCTGCCCCCATGAGGTCCCCTGGCCCACTTCAAAATGAGGTTGGCTTCAAGGCCTCAGAAGGAATCCCCTTGCTCCCAGCCTGGCCAAACCCAGTTAGGCCTGGGAAATCACCAGGACCTGTTGGAGCTGGGGTGAGGGGGCGGGACCGGCCTGCAGAGCTGGCTCTGGAGTTTGTCGCTGTGCTGCAGGCTGCAGCTCCCGGGAAGGACAGCTCCAAGGCACAGCACCCACCCCTGCGCTCCACCCTGCCCCTCGCAGGGCTTCCTCCCATCCTCCCGGCTTCTCCTCTCAGCTCTCTGGTCCTCTCTCCGCAGTGGTCGTCCACCCACAGGAGCCACTGTTACTGGGTGCGCGCGGCCTCGGGTGTAGGGAGCCACCCACCCCCCACCCTCTCCCCAGCCAGGCGCATGTGAAATGGGGGAGCTGAGAGGGAGGGCGCTGGTGTCATGGAAAATCCCAGCGGCAGCCAAGGTCAGCGTTTGCAGACACAGCCTGGCCCCGAGCCAGGCCTGCCTCCTGGGCCAGCTCCCTTGGGCCGTCCCAGTGGCCAGCTTGGAGCGGGGGCCCTGGCAGGCACCCTGGCGAAGCTGCGGGTGCTTGGGGCAGGGGCCTCAGCAGGGACCAGGGCTGGAGCGTGGCACCCTGCATAGTTCAACTTGCCCATTTTGTTGATAGACAAAGTCAGACCCAGAGAGGAGCAGGGCCAGCCCCAGGTCACAATCAGTGACCGAGTGAGGACTGGCCTAGCTCAGGCCTCTCAGATCGCCCCATGCCACACAGCGGCACACCCTGCAGCCTAGGCTGCTAGGCCGGGAGTAGTATAGACCATTAAACAAGGCCAGCTTGAGGCTGGACTAGACTCCGGGTTGCTGACGTGGCCTGGGTAAGTAGACCAAATGATCAACCGAGGTCCCTGACCTCAGTCGCTCTTCATTTGGGAGTAAATCAGATGAAGCCCTTCAGTGGGAGTATGTTGGAAGCTCCCGTGTCCCCCCCAAGGCAGAGGTTCTTGCCCCATGCATCCTTGAAATGTGTAGCAAAGGTGATCAGTGTTTTGGGAGCGATTTGTGATGGGCAGAGGGGGGGCTGGGGGTGGAGAACTTTGGCAGGGTGCCAGGGAGGGCTTCGTGGAGGAGGTGGCGTTGGTTCTGAGCTCTGAAAGGTGGATTGGAGATGCAGGGTTCTGACAAGGGTACCTGGTGTGTAAGGGGCCGAGAAAATACACCTCATGGCATGCTCACAAGTGGGGCTGGGGGACCTTCAGACTCTCTCAAAGGCAGCTTCGTGATGCACAGCAAGAAACTTAGAGGGGCATCTGCCTGGGGACCCTGTGGTGCTACTTCTAGGAATCTCTGCTAGGAAAATAACCAGAGATGGGAACAAAGATTTATGAACAGGGATGTTTATAGCAGCATTTTCATTGTGAAAAATTGTAAACAGTCCAAATTTCACCAATAGAGTTTGGTTAAACATATCGAGATATATTTATGGGG